TTGAATCAACGAAGTCATCCTCATCAGTTACGTTACCCACTCTTAACAAGATGGAGGATTCTGACCAGATTCCAGATTTCTGCGATGTCCTGCCACGAAAGAGCAGGAAAGAAAAAGAAACAAAGACCGATGCTGAATCGCACGAGGATGACAGTGATACCGATGACGACACCCTGTTCACCTGTTCCGAAGAAGGATGCGTAAAAGCTTTTCAAAGATTTTCGTCGCTACAAAAACACCTAGACTTTGGAAAACACCAATATGCTCTAGAGAAAGAAACTTTTCTTGATCGGGCTATGCAGATATATGCTGAGAATTTGGAGAGTGGGAAGGCGAACATTGAGGAAGTCCAGGAATCTGCGTCACAACCTAGCTCAGATATACCCCCATTACTGATGGGTTGGGCTTTGAAATATAGTTCATCTAGCCGACGATTTACGGAAGCTCAGAAGAAATACCTAACAGACCTGTTCGTTCTTGGAGAGCAAACAGGAAGAAAAGCGGATCCGGAACAGGTATCCAAAGCTATGAGAAAAACACGGGGTGCTAATGGGTCTTTTCTGTTTGACGCTGGAAGCTATTTCACATCAAAACAAATTACTAGCTTTTTTTCCCGTTTGTCTGCCAAGAAATCTCTTCCAGCCACCTGCTTAAGCACAGCTGATAACGATGAAGAAGAATCGATTGACGATATGCTAGCATCACAGGAAGAAATAGAGTTTGAACGCGTGCGACAAGAGCTTCTCAGCGAATTTGTCATTGCTCATCCCATTGTCTTCGATACCTATAACATCTGCCAAATGGTTGCTGTCTCCGGTCTTTCGAAGTTATCTATATCTGTGTTACAAGACATTTGTAAGTACTTTGAACTTGACTGTTCAGATATAACAAAGAAACGAAAGCAGCCTTACGCTGATATCCTTACAGAGTTTGTCAAGAATTCATGCACATGTACCAATTAAATCCTGATTCTTCGCAAAGTTCCGCCCGTCTCTACGTGAGCAAATCATCGCGGATGGCTTTCCACTCCCTATACAGTGGTGTTAGTTTTTTTTTTACCTTAAGGCCCTGTCACACTATTGCGTATGAGAGAAACGTATGAGAAGCGTATCAAAATTAATGAAATAATTTTCATACGCACAAAAATCTTTTGAAATGCCAGCGTATGAGTACCGTACGTCTGGCGTACCTCTAGCGTATTCATCGTGTGCCTAGAGTATGCTTATCGTATAAAGCATACGTTCGATGCGCACAAAATTTTTGAACATGCTTAAAAAAAATTTTCTGCCTCGCTGTATGCCAGCGTATGCCACCGTATGCGATCGTGCTTGAAACGTATACAACCTATGACGTACCCCTAGCGTATGTCAACGTATACCGGCGTATGAGTGATATTTTTCATACGCTGGCATACGCTAGTATACGATACGCTATAGTGTGACAGGGCCTTTATTAAAGGATGTTCGCCGTAGCAAGAAAAAATACTGTATTTGTATACTATATTTAAGAAACAAGTTTTATCATTCATAATAATATTACTGCGATTTAATTATTAACTTTATTATTTTCCAAAAATGTCTATGTTGAGCCAGATCAGTCTCGGGAAAGATGTATATTTTGTATATATATATAGAGAGAGAGATCATATATGCCCATGTTGATATGTTGATATGTTAATAGAAGCTGTTATCTCAAGTTATCTTTACTAATTGATATGATACTCAAATAGTGTAGGTGGAAATGCAATTCGGTCAGGTTGCCTGGCCTGTGTGTATGTGCTTTACCTTTTTATAAATACTATCCCCGCCCAGTATTCTAAATTTAGAAATGTAATAACCGAAAACATGCATGGGAACCGCGCTTTGAAATAAGTGACCTGAATCGACAATAATTGTATTAAAATGTGTGATATGCCATATTACGAACAAGATATAAACTGAATAAATATCGTTCTGAATAACGGTTGCCAAATGTATTTACAAAATTTTGCCTCCTGTGCAGACACGGCCGCTTGACAGTCGGTAAACAAAGCCAGTATCAATGTTATGTTGAAAAACAATCATGAAAATCTAGGTTTATCAGTCGTTTAGCAGGTAAGAATCCTTAACAAAATGCATCATGTAATAATAAGGTTTTTAATGTGTTTCAGGTTCGTTTATGAATTCATATTCCTCGCATAAACACTAGCATCTTGTATTTTGTAGAAAGCCACAAATTAAATTAAATGTCAGAAATGAGTAAATTTGACCAAAGTTTGAGGAGCTACCACGCGAATGAAAATCGTTTGCCCAAAGATTTTTTTATACCATTAGAAAGATAAACATATAAGTAATCGAGCGTGGACGTTTCAAGCGACTGACAGGTTAAGCAGTTTTAAAATTCATATTTTTGTACGACTTACTTTGAACGATTCGAAATATATGTCTAGCGAATTAAATTTTATTGTTGTGTTATAACTGAACAATTGATCTTAAAGTCACACATGTTGTGCACAGTGGAATATTTTCAAAGTATTTGGGGTGTTTGAACCTCTAGCGTTTCTTATTTTTCGACCATCTGCCGCGAAAGTTGAGTAATAATTGACTGTCGCAATCGGCGTTTTTTGGTAGTGTTTGATAATTTAAATTTTCTCCGTTATAAAGCGTTATTTGATCAAACCAACTATAAGGCAATTCTTGGGATACATTACCCTCGCTAACTTGAAAGTATAAGGGAAATCGATTTTTCAAGGTTTGCCGCGGATTGCTCGATGGTAACTGACAGTCACTCTTAAAGACTAAAAAGCAATGTCAACAGTCATATCACATATGTCAATACAATATGTAAATCAATCAGATTCAACTATCTTGATCATTTCCCGATTTGTCTGGAAGCAACTGGTGTCTTCAAAGAAAGTATTACTACATGAATTAGACTTCAGAAGATTGCACAAGCAGTTATCAAACTCGATCATATCACAGACAGCCGAATAGGTATCTTATTGTAAAGTCTTTGGCCAGAGGTGGGTATTTATTTTTAATTGATATTTGAGGTTTGGTAAAAAAAACTTTTGACTTTTTAATGGTTGGATCAGCAAAATATTTACTAAAAAATTCTCATTACTAAATTTTTTTCAAAATTGACAAAATTTTACCAAAAGTAAACTGGTCGACAGGCACTGCACGAACAGACAAACAGACATTTCCCTGGAACTAGCTCGGTCGTGTATTGCGAAATCTAAGATGGCGAAAGATTTGACTCGAATGCCATCATTATCGGAAGTTGACTTATCTGGCTTGAATGATTGGGAAAAATCTAGTATAACTTCTGTTATGGAGAAAGCTCAAGTAAGCACTGTTTTTACATGTGTTTTTTTTAAACCTAGCCGTAAAATTAACGTGTAAATTCAACGTTATTGCATGTCAAAATAGATGTAGCTTTCATGCGAATTGAATATTTATGACAAATTGACTATATACATGTCATACATTTGATACTTTGCGCTTTTAATAGGCTAAATTATGAAATATTTCTGAATTGCGAAATATATTTTATGTTATGACGTGTCAGAATATTTATTACTTTAATTCTTGATAGGAAATCCAAAAGAAGGATGAAGACAATATATTAAGGTAATATCATTGATTATAGTTCATTGTTTTGCCAGAGCTTCCAATAGACTGTGTTGTTTATTGCATTTTTGCAACAATGGCCTCGTTTTTATGTGGTTATTTCTTCATGTTTTGTGCGCTAGTATAATAAGGACATAATTGCGATCGCCGATTGCATTTAAGATCAAAGAGAACAAGTACAATCGTACTGGACCAGAAACTGGTCACCACGTTGAGCCATTGTTTAATAGAACTCAAACTTCTGCCTTTTTTCACGAGGCATTTTTTAAAATATGTTACGTACTGTTTAATAAACGAGCAGGAGTGTTTTATTAGGTTTAAAGACACGAGCGTGCAGCGCGAGTGGCTTTAGACCTAATAAAACACGACTTGCGAGTTTATTAAACGGCTTCAAACACGACTACAAATTCAATAGATATAGCCTTATTAGTATTCTTTATATAAAGAATACTAATGAGGACACGACTACAATAGATACTGCCTTATTAGTATTCTTTATATAAAGAATACTAATTAGGAGTGTTTATCAGGTTTAAAGCCACTGCACATGACATATTAATATGGTTGACATGATTTGCCAATAAGCTTATGAATTATTAATGAGTGTTTGAAAATGATCTAAATGATCAAGCAAAACATTAGTCAATTAAGTGGTTCTCGAAGTGGAGCCATGTTGTATTGGCAGCGTTTGCTTAAATGTTTTGCTTTATACATGCAAATTACGTGTATTTTGATGTAATTAGTGCATTTTCCATGTAGTATTATGGGCAAACAATTAATGCTTTTAAATATTTGTTCAGTGAAAATGCTTAGGTGTGTGAAGAATTCATTCTTGGTGGACAATTGAGGTTTTCAGCTCACTAATACCACTTTAACCCATTAAGTGCCAGCACCCTACCCTTGAGAAAAATCATCTGGTGTTAGACAGAATAAAATAATAAAGGAGGGTGCATCAGGGCGCAATGCGACTCAATGGGTTAACTAGACACATGGGCAAATGGGCTAGCTAACCCATTAAGCACCAGCACTCTCTCCTTGACGAGTAAAATTATCTGGTGTTAGACAGAGTAAAATAATAAAGTAGGGCGCATCAGGGTGCAATGCGACTCAATGAGTTAAATTAACTAGACACATGGGCAGATGGGCCAGTTAACCCATTGAGTGGCAGCACTCTCCCCTTGATGAGTAAAATTGTCTGGCGTTAGACAGAGTAAAATTATAATAAAGTAGGGCATCAGGGTGCAATGCGACTCAATGGGTTAAAACTTAAATCCATGTCTGTAATAAGGTAGACTCTCTGTACATATAGGCAAAAGATGGAAGGTCAGTTGAGCAAGTGGACGAATCTCATGAAAGGGTGGCAATATCGTTGGTTTGTTCTGAATTCAGACACTGGACATCTGGAATATTATGTGGTATGCATTTTTATTGACATTAGATAAGGATCTGGTCAGCACAGTTATTATTTTATGCGTGCTTTACCTTACCGTACCATCAGGCCGTCGGTCACAAACATTCTCCCACCCATTCATGAACAAATTGTCCGACGTAGAGAGGAAACCACTGGACATTTTGTCCGACCCAAATGAAACTGGGGTGTGTTTGTTTGACCCTAGTGAATTGGTGTTTGACCTAACTGTAACTTTGTCCAACGTAAATCAAAATGTACCCTAGTCCAGGACTAGAGGCTCATACAGTATGTTAATTAAATAGAAAATCAGAGTAATGTATAAAAAGTGAACTGGAAATGTTTAATAAAGTGCGGGATTTTCACCTTAGGGTTCGGAAAGTCATTGCCAAGATTCAAATGACTTTTCTAAATTTGTTGCATTCATACTTATTTTCAAGCCAAACTGAACTCAAAGTCATCGGACAACCATTAGACATCACAATATATTTGTCGGACCCAAACTCAAAATCATTGAAAATGTTGTCAGAAGGTTCTCTGACCGTTACTCTAATGCCTGTTGTTAACCCATTGGTCGACACATATGTAGCACAGTTAATCGCCAGGGGTGGAAAAAATATTTTACTTTCTGGGACCGCAAGAGAACACTCAAAATTTTCTGTAAATAATCAAGTAAATCGGCACTTGGACACTGTAACTGTGTAACACTAACAAGTCGTCAAACTGGATGTCATGCTATATTTTAGAGGGGAAAAATATTTCACTGAGAATCTTAAAATATAGCATAAAACTAATTTAATAGATAACATGCATCAAGCGTTATCCTAAAAATAAATACTGATGCCAAAAAAGCTAGGAGGCACTATCAGGAAGATCCATGCTTCCCCAGAAAATTTTGAAAATCAGGTGTCGCAGGTCAGCTAAATATGCATTTGTCATGCAACATTTCATTTGTTGCATCATTTTATTTATCATTATATACTATTAAATTAAGATGGATGCACTTAATATTGCATTTCTGAGGTCATGGTTTGAATTTTCCTCTGAATCTCTCTTATCTAAATTATTACAATTTTTCTTTCTTGGGGAAATATTTGCTGGGAACTCAAAAAATTTTCTGGGACCAATGGTCCCATGGTCCGATACTTTTTCCAGCCTTGGTTAATCCGTTGGGCGCCAGCACTCCCCTCTTGAGGTTTCCCTCCCCTGGTAAAATCGACTGGTGTTAGACAGAGTAAAATAATAAAGTGGGGCACATTAGGGCGTAATGCAACTTATGTACATTAATCTGTGTTGCCGCTTATTTTGCATTTTTCATTAATATTCTTTCAGGACAAAAGCAAGCGGACGCAGGGATCTGAACCAAGGGGATCAGTATATTTGATGGTAAGTCAGATGGTGAAAAGTAGCAAATGATATACTGTAGCTTTGGATTTGCTTTAAAATATAATTGAAACAAAACATTCATGGCCAGAAAATTGTTCTTAGTAGCAGTGGATTAAACATATAAAAGTATTCGTTGGTGAAATTTCAAGAAAGGAAATTCTCAAAATTCGACATTTATTTCAGGGTGCAGTTATAGCTCCAAGTGACGAGGATTCCGTGACATTCAGTGTCAACGCGGCCAATGGTGATTTATTTAAACTGAGAGGTATGATTGTGTAGGCGTTGTATTACTTGTATACATTGTCCAGGTCTTGCAGTCTCTTGAAGATATTACATCATGCTGAATCAGGGTTTATTTCAACTTGCAGTGTTAAACAAAATGTGTAATTCTAAACCATGCAGTTCTTAACACACAAATGCGCAGTCACCATATTAGGCGTAAAAAAACCCCTGTGGTTCCGGTTTCATATCGCGAAAAAATTAGGGTCGGTAGGTCGGAAATAATATTTTTTTTGAATATTTTTTTTCATGTTTTTTTCAATAATTAGTGTGACAACAGACGCCATTTTGGCAGCAGCCCGCAACCACCCGGAGAAAATAGGGTCGCACGGTCAATCGCGTTGAAAAAATAATAGGGTCGGCAGAAAAAAATAGGGTCTGTCGGGAACCGGAACCACAGGTATTTTTTTTACGCCTTAAGAAAAATATAACCTTGAAACAGTCTTCTTATTTACTCGTTTTCCTTGTGGATGCTCCAGAAAATCCTAGAAATTCTGTCATTGAGGCTATTGAGCATAAAAAATATAAAGGTTTTCTGGGAGAGGACCCCCAGACCCTCCTATTTTCCTCACAAATTATTGCGTGCTGGGGTAATAGAACAGAAGGTAAATTCGTGAGTTTTTCAAAGAGCTCAAATAGCAGTCGTCCTTCGGACTCGTGCTATTTTGATGCTCTTTGAAAAACTCACTCGTGCATGTTTTATCCGAATTACACTCGAAACCATCATATTTGCCTATAATAATCGTAGGTTAACGAAAAACGTCAGAGCAATCCCCGCAACAACTTGTTATAAATACAAGGCTCAAAATAACGGCCAGTCGTCGGACAATGACTGGCCAAAGATGTCTCTTATTCGGGCACTTTTTTACCTCACCGGTCATTTGGACCAGCCACATTTTCAATGCATTCCAATGTAGTTGCTGACGTCTTGAATTAAAACATGAAACTATGATGTATCGAAACAAGTTTCCAATAATTTGTTTCACTGTTAGTGTAAGCGTATCAATGACCGATCAAAAACAGATTTTGACCGAGCTAAAATCAAGTTGACCGGTGTCGCAGTTGATTTGGACCCCCGTAGATTTGGACCCCCGGTCCATATCCACTAGTAGATTTGGACCCCCAGGTCCAAATCTACCAGTGGATATGGACCCCCGGGGGTCCAAATCTACCAGTAAATTTGGACCCCCGTTGGCGGATTTGGACCCCCTTCAAAAGTTAAATATATGTAATGTGAACACAATAATATAAACCAAATTCATAATAGCGATCAATCTGAAGTATTTAGTCACTTTAAATATTTGTGATAAAGGCCACAAAACGTAAAATAGAAAAATAGAATACAATCGTAGAAATTGCATACAGCATTTGGATCGACACGAAACACGATTTTCATGAATATTTTTAAACAATAAGTGATGGTGACTCATCTGAATGGAAGCCTGCGACTATCCACTAATGGTTTTAAGAAAAGCTATAGAAATAGAATATTAGAGCAACGCGATTCCATGAACATTTTTAAACAATATGTAATGGTGACTCATCTAAATGGAAGCCTTTTTATCTATTTTGCTCATATAAACGTCATATTGCGTATATACATGAGTTTTTAGTGTATTTATTTATCCTTTTATAGCTGTATACAAACTTTCCATGCATTTGGACCTTTCTAGTTTACTTGTAGTTTAATATTTTTGAATTTGGATCTCACTGGCAATAAAAAGTTTTCTATTCACACTAAATGACTATGTGTGGTTGATAAGTAGCTACGGGTATCGGAAAATTAATGAATTTAACATATTCACCGTTATTGGGGTTGCTCTTAGTGTAGAAAACTGTTTAAAAAAGGGGGTCCATATCCGCTAAAGGGGGTCCATATCTGCTAGGAAATTTGGACCGGGGGGTCCATATCTACTAGGAAATTTGGACCGGGGGGTCCAAATCTACTGGGGGGTCCAAATCCGCTGTGACACCGGTCTTTTTGACCCGAGACCTATCTCCCGTTATTTTGAGCCCTGAAATATGGAAATATTTTCCCAGAAATCTTGTCTGGATCGTCAGAAGTTTTTCACAATTTTTACCTTCAGCTTGTGATGCTCGTGAACGTCAACAATGGATCAACAAAATACGGATGATCTCGGAGATGCATTCTACACAGCTTGTGAATGTGAGTGTATATTATTTTATTTTATAATATAGCATTTGTAAATTCTGAACGCCGATTGGCTAAGAGCCGTGTTGATATAACTCAATGTCAACACGGAAAATTTCTTTCTTTATATTTCTTTGTGCTATATTATAAAAAAAATATAAAACATTTTTTCCGTATTGATATACAGTTATATCAGCACTCACGGAAATTGGGAAAACTTGAAATTGTTTGGAAACACGACGCTATCTATCTGATATAACTGTATATCAACACGGAAAATGTTTTATGTACTATTTAAAACACGA